AGGCCCTTAGGGATGCCGTGCGATCCATCGCCGCCGCGTGTTGCACATGTGACGTCGGAGGAGGAAGCGTTTTGGGTTGCGACAAAACTAATGTATGCCACAAATAAGAGGAGGCCTTTATGGTCGATAGCCGGTCACTCGCACGTTGTACCTCCGTTGAATTCCTGTTTTGGTACGTGTGCTTTTAGCACCTCTGTGGTTATTTCGACGGATACGCATGTGATACTTATATTTCCTTGTTGCCGCCGGTGCAAGTGGCTTTCAGGTTTTGCTCGACGTGACAGGTCTGCATCCTCATTTGCGATATCCTCAACCGTAACCAGAGGGTCATCGACGTAGTCTTCGTCGCTACTGGAATCGTGTATAAATCCGCGTCCACCAAGTAGGTAGTCGACATGCGGTCTTGCCCGTAGACAGCGCCCTATACATGATAGAACACAGCGTTGTAGATTAGGACAACGTGCTGCAGGCTGCCTGTCACTATGTCCCCCGTGTCTTACCTGTGCTCTGCGCATCTCGGCGCGCTTGCTGCTTCGGCATCTTGCTTTCCCCCCTTCTTGGAAATGAAAGGTCTGTACAACTCGTAATTATTGAATCTCGTACTTAATAGACACTGTAAAATTTACATTTCCGCTTTTGAGATTTTTAGCGTAATATAACTTGCAATAACTTACCCAGCAACACAAAACGCCATTGTGTTGTTCTAAAAGATAAATCGTCATGTTGTAGTAATGTTGCGGTACCGACTCCGGCCGCCGACAGCACATCAAAAACACAATGCACCTGTATATTTCACAATATCATGCGAGAGCACAGCTGTTAATCAAATTATCTATCCGAGCGTCCATTATCGACTCAATTATTGGCAATTTGCTTTTTCATCTAGAAGATATCGAAGGTCAAATGCATGCTCGTGCTCTCGCCAGGTTCAAACTGCAAAATGATCGGTATCATATAGAAAAGAATCACCATTTTTGCTTTCGCCTGTGCGTCAAGTGTATTTCGGATGGCAACATTTCTAATGGACGACACTAAGAACGAGACTGGAATTAGTCGTTTATGGATGCAGTTACCGCGCGGTACGCGCGAGTAGTTTACGCTACATCGCTAGAGCGCCTGGCATGCCTTATCAGCACATCCTGGGCAATGTCATTGGCAATGAACTGTACGACTCGTCAAGAAAAATCATACGTTGTTATTCGCTGACGCTTTTTCACGAGCGGCAAGCTACACAATTTTCACCTACTTGCAATACCTTTGCACAAACGGCACACAGCATCAAATATTTTTTATGTAGTATCCGATTTTCTTGCCGCTCTCATTCCAACTTGTAAGTCCAATCATTGATGTGGCCACTGATGGTGCTGCAGTCATGATGAGACACATGAGTGGCTTGGTCACCCTCATCGAGGCCGAGATGGAGAATAACATGACAAAGATTTGGTGCGGACTCCACCAATTGAACTTGAATATGCAAATGGTATTTGAGCAGGCACTTCAAGAAACATTTCTTTCGAGATTGTATGCTGTCATTGGCTATCTCCAACGGCAGACTCTTATTACCAAAATACGTGCGACATGTTTAAAAGTCTCGGACATACGCTGGATATCGATGTACAATGTTTCGGATTGGATTTGTGTGCACGGATTTGCCATTCGTGGATACCTGGTAGATAAGAAAACCACGTGCAGCCCCAGTTTGGTGTGGTAGCATTTTTTGGGTTGTATTGAGGGAGGTAGCTAAGGAAGCAAATGCGGATTTCGTGTCTTTTCAAGGATTATCTACACTGGTACAGCAGCAGCAAGCTCGTTTTAAGGGGTGGCTGAGCAAGCTGTGTACTTTCTTCGGTGTGAAAGGTCCTTTGGTAGAGAAGAGGTTTGCGACATTGTTGGCCCCGCGTCCACGACTGTTGCCGCCGCGTCGGCCTCCTCGATTCTCATCCTTCTGCTTGGTCCAGCACTTCTCAATCATGTGCCCCAATTTTCCGCAGTAAGTACACTGGCGAGACCCCCGCTCGGTACTGAACGCCTTCGCCGCGTCTTAAGTCTTCACCGCAGAGGTCTTCTCGCCTTACCGCTTGATATGCTCGTTCGTGAGCACCTTCATAACGTCTTGCGTCTTCAGCTCAGCAGTACTCATCTCCAGGTGTAGCACGACGTTCTCGTAGCTCTTAGGGAGACTGCGCAACAAGCAGATGGCAACGTCCTCGTCCTCCATCCAAGCGCCGATGCTACTAAGCTTGGCGCTGATGTTGAGAACTTCATTGTAGTGATGCAATACATTCGCGCCTTCAGACATCTCCATGCTGAAGAGCTGTCGCTTCAGGTAAATACGACCAGCCTTCTGCGATCCACCGTACAACGTCTTCAAGCGCGCCCACGCGGTCCACGCTTCCTCGCACTTGTCGACCACGTGGTGGGTAGTCCGCATCCACGTAAAGCAGCATCAATCCGAACGCGATGTTGCTCGACTTGACATATTCGTCCTTCGCACGAGGGTCCGTGAAGCTTGGAGTCGTCTCTCGGTTCACGACATGCCATACTGACTTGGTCAGGAACACACCACGCATGTAGCGGCTCCACGTCGCGTAGTTGTCACCGTTGAACTTGTCAATGGAGACCTTACTTGAGACGTCTTGCGCAGAGGACATGTTACTTGGGCTCATAACCTGATAGAGGTCACTGGTTTGAGGCAGCGTCGGGCTTGAACGGAGCGATCGGGAAGAGTCACCACTCGGGGAGTAGACCGGAGCGAGGACACTTGAGGGGAAGAAGGAAGATTCCGAAGTGATATGATTTATCGGAGCTTACACAGTCCTCACT